CAGGCAAACACGTTGGGGAAGTTGTCTCGTCTGCATCTTTGCCAAGCAATGTAGAGATGAGCGCAGTAGTCCCGCCGATCAAGAGGAACTTGAGCTTTCATCATTTCCTCTTGTGTGGCCACCATCACTAACAAGGGGGAAATAATTGTATTTTTTGTCAGAAATTTAATATTTATTTCAGAAATCTTCCAAAAATGTGTGCAAGTGGCACAAATACATACATGTATGTATCAATATTTGTTAAACTTTGCATTCTTCAATAACTATACAATCTACACGTAGGTATATGTACTTTGAATGTGGCATTCTGTGCTTACTGGTTGTAATTAGACAGTGCAACGTCCATTGACTGTGACTTAGTTAAGTTGTACACTGGATGTTGCGCCATTCAGGAACCAGTCAGTGGCACTAGGTATATGCATGCACACTCCTGAGGCTCAATTACGAATGGTCTGCTTGACTTGGGAAGTGTATACATATTTTCCCTTATATTAGCATAGAGTTTGAGTCGCTACATGAAGAAGATGGCGAGTTCAACTTGACAACGAGAGCGTTTCCGATTTGAAACAAGAAATGTCTTTTTTCTTCCTAAATGTAAATAAACTTTACCATCCTCACTGGAATCTTTGATTCCTACAGAATCCTAAGGAATCCTACAGTGGGTGCATTAGACAGGTTAGGGACTGCTGTGGGGGTAAAATCTGAGGATTTTGATTTGGGGTAGGAGCTACTTGGAGTGAAATCAATTAATGGTACATAAGGCCTACGAAAGGGTGTGAAACTCTACTATCGCCAACCATGTTCAAATGATAAAGCAATTGGTAGGGTCCTAATTACTCTGTTTAATATACTCAGACTAACATTTTTTATACCCGTCTCATCGGGTTTATGCACCGGTGTCAAGTGATGGCCAGATATGGAACTCTTCAGTACTTTAGAAATTTGAAGTATAAGTGGTGTTCCTTACCTAGGACCCTGTTCCTACAGGCCTATGTAATAGATTAAAGAAACAAAGTCTACTTTTAAGAAACAACTCATCTTGATAAGTTGGCAGTGATGTCCTCTTGCAAATCAGAAAGACTGTGTTTGTCATGTTTGTGAAAAGAGGACAGGGCTTGGTTTTTGAGGGAAATTACGGGGTAAAATGAAAGCATACATTACTCGGAGAACTCTCAGTCACTAGCACGAAGTAGTACTCAGACTTCTTAGAGTAAGCATACATGATGCGACAAATAGCTGTGAGTGCGAATGAAGATGAATTAGGCCGAGCAAATGTAGTTTGGTTCCTTAACCTGGATAAAGATGTTTGACGAACCTCGATAAAGTAATGGCTAAGAACTGTGAGCCATTACTTCACCTAGATGCATCAAAGTACTAGCCTGGGCACTTCAACTGCAGTACATTTGACTCAACCATGGATGTTGAGTATTACTTCCAGAACTGTAATGTTTATACAAACCTTGCAGATACATGTAGCCATGTACAAATTCCTATAAACAAATTTTGGCTGTTTTGATTGTGCCAACTTACTTTTCCATCACAGCCATTTGCACAACCGAATTTCATACTGCCGTCTTGGTGAAGTTAGATGTCAGATGGGGAAGTTTATTCACCTTATATCCTCGTTAAAATGGTGAAAGTTTTGAGCATTTTGCCCATCCAAAGTACAGAAAATCAGCAGCATGTACCCTTAATACCTGTCAGCTGTGTGATAGCTTGACCAACAGCAACACAGCTCCTATCTTTTCCTTTTGTTTTCCTTTCACCCACAGATGAAAGCTCCACTGTGACTAGACCCGTAAACAGGTCCCGACGTATACACCTCCGTCGTAAACGGGGCCCTGTCCCAATTCATAGGGATTTCTTTCGAAAAATTTTATCCGGGATATCCGGGGGCGTAACTAAACATCCGCTTGATTTTATGAGCTGAAATTGCACCAGTATATTCACTACTTACAGGGTAAACTATCCTCTAGATTGCTAATTGCAGAAAACTCACCTTTTCCTCATCTGGAGGAAAAAATGTTGCCTTTTTGTTGCCATTTTCCCAATCCGAACGAATTTTGGCCCGACTTGTACATTACAGACTCCTTTGTATGGTTAAGTAATGGTAACCTGTACGAAGCCTGTCTTGTTTGCATCCAGACTTTAGCTCTTCTGAATTTTGTTTAGATTTGCAAGAGTACCTGTCAATCTAAGTAGTCATGGGAAATTACAGCTGTTTTGTGTCGCAGCTAATATGCAATGCCCTTGGCTGGTTCCCTGTCCAGTCACACACCCCTTGTGGCAAATCATTGGTAGCGCAGCTTGCTCTCCGTGACGTGACACAAAAGTGACGAAACAGCCGTCAGTTTTGTGCAAGTGGGGCAAAATTCGTTCAGAGTGGGGAAAAGGCAACAAAAAGGCAACACTTTTTCCTCCAAACCAAACGAGGAAAAGGCAAGTTTTCTGCAATTAGTGACCTAGGGGATAGTTTACCCCATAAGTAGTGAACAATGCAATTTCAGCTCATAAAATCAAGCGGATACA